TCTTCTGAGGATCAGCACATCGGCTCCGCCACCTCCCGCAGATCCTTCGAGCGCGGCTGCTGGCAGCGCGCCTGCGCATGAGGAAGAGACGCAGCAAACGTCCACTGGCAGCGCGATGAGGAACCTCTTGCGTCCTCAGTTTCTCAGGGGCTTTTCTCGCCAAGCCAGCAACGCTAACGCCAACGCTGCGACCGCGCCGGCGGCGGATGTAGAGCTAGGGCGCGTCTAAGACCCCTTTGTCGTCCCTGCCCTGCAGGTTGCGCACATTGGATGTAACACCTCGCTCTGGCCTTTTATGACTTGTATACGACTGTACTTGTACCCCGTGTATGCCTACTGTATGTGATGGACTGACGTCCACGTAAGCCCGATGAACAAGATGGTTTCAAGATCGCGAGGGGTCCTTTCGTGGTCTGCGTAACGAGAGCATTCTTGATTCGTCGCCTATCATTGACGAGGCAATCTGGATCTGATCGCAAGCGTATCACCGTTGACGGGGAGCAGTGAAACTCTGTCAAGCCCTGTCTTTCGCACAGTCAGGCGCATGCTCAGCACAAGTTGCAGGCGCGCGGTCGGAAATAGCCGAGAGTTGATCACGTGACTCATGTTCGAATGAAAGGGAGGCTCTCGCGATGGCTAGGGGCATCGCTGCCTAGCTTCTCTTGCGGTCTTCCTCCTGATTCAGAATCTGCTCTCAAAGACCACGATGAATATGCTATGTAAGAAGGTAGGTTCTTGTACTATGAGAATTGGATGCAGTCTATAAACAGCTATGGATACAGTAGAGCAATTGCATGACGAGGACAACGGTTTGTGGCTGGTCGTGGCGCCGAGACGTGGAAGCAGGGACATGTGGGTGCATATGAGACGGTAGATAAGGCGCGACGCAGCGCTGCGGGAAAGCGGCGCGGGAATCGCGGGGCGACGTGGGTGCGTAACACTGAGTCACTGACAGATCAGCGCAGTGCTAATGGATCAGGTCCGTGATAGCGATCCTCGACCGTTTCCGCACGCCGCCGTCAGGCCCTGCGTCACCAGCGGACTTGCGCTTGGAGGCGAGAGGCGCGGGGGCAACTTCGCGTAACCGAGGCACCGGCGAGGCGCCCTCGGCAACGCCGGCACGACAGGCAGCCCTCAGCGGGGTGGGCGTATCGTCTGCTGGGTGGCCACATAACGGTTCCACGGGAACAGAGTCGAATGCCTCTCCTAATGCGTCGTGGCCGCTGACGTCGAGGACGTCCTCGTGTAGGGGGGCTATCGAGAACGTTCGAGTCGACCGATTTTCATTGTCCTCGCATCGGTATGCACGAGTCACGAGCAGTTGCTGTTTGAGGGAACTCTCCCGCCGTCCTGAGGCTGCGCCACCGGTATATCGTTGTGTGGCGCGGCGAAAGGGGCTGCCTTCCCTCCGCGCGCGCGAGGGTCTCGGAAGCGATGGTGAGACACCGCGGCGGGTTTTCGAGGAGGAAGGGAGGTAAATGTGAGATGGGAGAATAGTCCCGCGCCAGCGGTGGAGGCCCAGATCGCCTGTATCTATGTAAGCAAAGAGGAAAAAACAACGGTCACAAAAAAACATACCAAAAGACGGAAGAGGGCATGTTCGTGGTGGGGTGCGGTCGACGTGCATACTTGAGCCTTCCCCGAGTGTGGCGCGCGACTGGGAGCAGTACTCCTCGAATGTGTGGATGGGTGCGAGCTCCATGGGCGAGTGATGTGGGGGTAGAAGGCTGGGAGGGGGGCGAAAGACCGGCGTCTACCAGTGTGATATATGGGGCGGGCGAGGTACGCGAAAGGGCGGTACGGCAGAAAGGCCGATTGGGTTTTATAAAGCGGGCGGCACGGGGCGGCACAGGGTCAACGGACTGATTGTTGAGAACGAATGGAGCGGAAGCGCATGCATCAGATTCCATTAGCGCGGGGCACGCGCCTATTTAGAAGGCGGCCGCCGAACGCTAAAGGATGTCGATGCAGGGTCCGAGCACGCGGTACGGGGTCAATACATCCACTGCGGGTATGAGTGAAGTCATCTCAAGGCTTCTAATCCGAACCGAGCCTCAAGGCATCTAGAAGACGCACCATATACTCGAGACGGGTAAGCAGGGGCTTGCTGCTTGGAAAGAACCCTATGTCATTCAGCATCCTCCTAGGTGACGGATATGTATCTCCGTCCAGGCATGCGACGGCTGGTCGCAGTCGATCATCACTGTCGATGTTGCCCTTTGAATTGTCCCGCTCTGATGTTGTTCCTTCCCTTCTTGTCAACTTGACGTCGTAGGTTACCCCGTGGAGAAAGCGGGCCAGACCTTGTCCTTGCGCAACCGATCCATTCACCGAAGCTCGGTCCGCATGGTCAAAGATGGTTAATCATGATCACCGTTGGGGACAAGAACAGCTCCTCGGGCGCCCATTGGCTGCGGCGCTGCGCCCACCGCTTTCTGTCGGAGGCACCGCCGAGGGGAAGCCTAATCGTGACCAATTCATGTATCGGGAAGATGCCTGAATCACCGCCCATGCAAAGGGGCCGTGTCACCATATGACGCTGTCCGCGGCCAAAACATGCGGCGTGCCAGAAGCGGGGGCTCGGGGCTGCGGACCTGATCACGAGGGAGGTTGAACGTCGCCATGGAAGAAGGCACCCTGTGGGAAGTATGATGTGCCGCGAAATCCGGCCACAAAGGATTCGCCTGATTTGGAAAGTCCTAAATCGACCGAGGCCCCGAGCACACCGGGCCACGCTTCAACAAGCACGCCATCCCTCAACGTGTCACATCTAGAGTCCGAATGGTCAAAGTAGCGTGAGACGCCGTGACAGTAATTGTATACCAAGTTAAAGCCTCCTAGTGCTACAGCGTAGGATCAAGCTACGTCAAATAGCCCGGGAGGGTGGCACGGAAGACCATAAACTGATTCGCAACGTCGGCGCCTGCATCGTATTGTTGACCGACGGAGATACCATCCGTTGTGATGAAGTCGTTATCAGCCTGAGATGCATTCCTTTCAGCTTGCAATTCGTACTTAGTCAAGTCCCGTAAACGTACCGCGGTGAAGATGAAGTAGTCATCTGGGGACTCCTCGTCGCTGACAGACACGATCGCAAGGCTTTCCCATTTTGAGGCAATTAGAGTATCGTCTGCGTCGTCCCCTGAAGCAATGTAGTCAGATACGCTCAGGGTGAAGGGCACTTGAGGAGACGTACCATTGTGCAAGCCAAAACGCGCAAGTTCATCATCATCAATCATGTCAATGAAGTCGGTCACCTCGGCAGGAGAGATGCTCTTGTCCAGATTTCCGCCATTCGCTATAGGGTTCGCGGGATCATCGAACTTCGAATTGCTGATGTTTGTCGCGTCCGAGATTGAGAATATTGCAATGTTCCTGTCACAGCGCAGTCAGCTAAGCACAACGACGCAGCTAATAGCGCCGCATCCTCACTTGTACTTGGACTCCGTATCGTCGTCTCCTCCTCCTTTTCCATCGCGGGACAGCACCAAGAAGACGCCATCGTTGAGGAAATGGATCTCGCTCGCGGCACGCGTCTTCCCCTTGCTATTGCTAACCGGTAACTCGACGACCCACTCGCCGACATAGGCAGAATCCCCCGAGCCATCCGCCGTCGACACGCCGGACACATCGTACGCGAGCAATCGCGCATACCGCGACGTCTCATCATCGTTTCCGCCATCCTGAATCGTCGCCGACTGCAGCATCGCATACAGCGTCTGCGTAGCCGGATCAATCGTCAAGTTCTCGAGTCCTGCACACCGCCCGCAGATCCGTCAATTATTCCGGGTCTTCAGAAGGCGCAAGCGTACCCTGGTTCGCGGCGCGACCGGAGTCGGGATCCTCGACGGACGTAAAGTCAATCTCTCCGTCTCTCATGGGCAGCACGGCCGCAGGCGGCGTGATCGCGTGCAGCAACGCGCCCTTCGCGGAGAAGAGGTAGATGTACGGCCCGTACTCGTCGCTGATCCAGAATCTAAGCCCGAAATCAGTAGAAGACATAAAGCAGCGCGACGTGCAAGACATACGAGCCGTCGGCGTTCGCCACCATGCCCTCTACGTCTAAGCTGAGTCGGTCGTCGCTCATGCTCGCGATGGGCAATTGGGGGTCGATTCCTAACGCGTCGCGGATGCCGGCCGCGTCCAGACCGGTAGTCTTCTTCCCATCGCGTTCCGTCTTGAGAATGGTGCCCGTATAGGCCACCTGCAGAGTTGCCTGCGCGTCTTCGAAGGTCAACTTCTTCTTCTTTTCGTACGGAGTGAGTACGAAGTCGATGGTATGATGCCGAGCCTGGTAGTCAACTGTCTTGTCGCTGTACGGTCGGCTGCGTTCAGTGCGCCAGCATCAAGAGGTCGGCTGCCTACGTACATGTTGTAGCCGCGATCCGGGTGGACGTAGAGCGTCCCGGCGAAGGAGCCGTTGGTCAGCTTCTGCCAGCTGCCGGGCTTCAGCGCCATGGCGCTGCCCAACCCACCAAGGGTGTCGCCTGTGACATCGAGCGCATTGGCTGGTAGCTGGCCAAACGCCACGAGTCCCTGGACGCGGTGTGAGCCCTCGCCTCCCACTAAGTTATTCAAGCCGCGCGGGGAAACGAAGCCTGAGCTTGCCTTGTTGGTGTACTTCACGCCATTGACCTTGACATGGTCGTCTCTTCTGGAGTGAGGTACCGCGTTGACGCAGGCGAGGATAGCGCTATCACGACGATGTTAGACCACATCATGAGAGACTTCGTGCGAGGGTCTAGTCAAGGCGAAGGGCACATCGCCCGTCCATACAGACATTCGCCTATAAACAATCGGGGTCTGTCAATGAACGTGCGTGCATGGCGGATTCCAGACACCGCCGTCAGTGCAAACGATGTGCAGAATAGCGGGCACGAGGGTGCCAGACAGGTACAATGGTGTACGGGAGCAGGACGTGGACAAAGACAGCCATCGCACGTGCGTAGCGGGTGATCTATGCCATCGTTTGGCAAAAACAGAGTGAAAACGAAAAGAAGTTCCCTCTAGCCGACTTGAACGACTGACCTCTTCATAGAACATTGAGCCGAACTCTTCTGTACTAGTGAAGCGCTCTACCACTGAGCTAAGAGGGACTTGCAATAGAGTGTATTTGCACCGATAAATACCGGGTTTGTATTGCACACGAAAGCTCGAGATATGTATCGAAAACCGAGTTGCTGAATATATCGTGGTGCCCTACAACCAGCGCGAGATGCAATACAAGAGGAGGCCAGTATATATTTTCACAGTAGAATATTTCTTCTCTAATTGTAAGCAACCCCGAGACCATCTGCCGTTCTGGCAGAGGGCCCGCTTGAGGGCGTCGCGTCCGCGGAAGCTCTCCGTGGCCTCACGCACGGAGACACCTTCACCATCCCCTTGAAGTAGCCCTAGATGCCCTTCCATACGGTGTTGCCCACGGTACGAGTACCGGCTGATGGTGGCAGCGCCGCGCTTGCGCCACGGCTGCATGGCGCGACGAGCTCAATATATACTACGAGGCCTCGAAATAACATTTTGAGGCCATCGTTCACACTGAGCGACTGCTGGAGTTCGTCCATATTGCATTTCGCGTATATTAGTACAAGAGGCAAAATTCAGTTGAGAAACCCGGTATATCTCGGTGCAAATACACTCTAATAGACCGTATTTGCACCAGGTTATATTGGGTTTGTATTGCACTTACGCGGCGCTCAGATGTACTGGAAATCCGGCCGTTGATGATTTTTGAAGAGCCGAGAATACAGACCGCGCGGCCTCCAATATATTCAAAACGACGGTACCCGCTTCCGCGGACTTCTTGCGTGCTGTGAGCAGCGCTCGACTGCCCGGATCGTGCCCAGATGATGGGGACCTGTACACGCATCGTCGTGGCCAAAGGCCGCTGTCCGTAAACCTCACCGATGGCCTGATAGAGGTCGTTGAAGGGTGCCCTGAGCTCATGTTCGGATCGAATTATTATCTTGCTGTCTCAGTTTTTTGTTTGCTCTTCTTCATATGTATTGGGCACTTCATTGGAAGTGGGGCCAAAATTCAGATGCGAAAGTCAATATAACCTGGTGCAAATACGGTCTAATGTGCTCACTCTTTAAAAATCTAAGCAGAAATTGGCATGATCCTACTCGCCTGATCTTGAAAAATCCCAACTGAGTATTTGATTCGACGGTATCGACCCAGATACTTACCATGTATCAACAATCATAACGCACTGGCCCTACAATAGGAAGTGTGAGGTCCGTCCTCGGTCCTTGACAGATTTACGCTGCCGTCTAGTTATGTGCGTATTCGCATTTCACGATCACGGGAAGTATTCCTGACGGAGGTTGTAAATGAATGAACATGATGCTTTATAGTGTAGGATGCTCACCACCAGTCGGGAGGTCATAGTACTCACGTCCCACGGCAATGAGGAAGGCATTGATCCAGCCGCTGTGAGCCGTGATGGATACATCTGAGCTCGTGTGAGCTCGATTACTTCAGAAGCAGCAATAATACTAACATTCAGGCGTCTTGTCTTGGAAGATCGTGCACAACACGGATCGCGCCCGTTGTACGACGTCTTCGCTGGCCTCCCGAACATCGTCCTTGAAGTACTCGTCCTCCTCCGTGAGACCATCTTCGATGTCGAATTCCGGGAAAGCGCAGTGTATGTAGGATCTGGGACGGCGCTTGTCGCAGGTGTGGACTCCAGAGACTTCGCGGCAATTCTGATGGGGCCGCTGGTGAACAACGATAGTGCCGGTCGATCTCGAGCTTGCGCATACCTCGAGGACCATGGGTCTCGCCGATCCCGATAAGAATTCGCCGAACGAGATGCGCAGCGTGTCAAGCGCGCGAGTGAACGGACTACAATACAGGGAAATCGGCAATGGCATCCCTGCCTCAATCTCTTGCTTCCAGATGGCGTTCACAGTACGCGCCTGCTCCTTCCCGAGAGGCGTCAGCTCCGGATCGGCTACGTTTGTCGTCAGCGAGGCAGTAGCAGGGATGTGGAAGTCCTTACGTCCCCATGTAATCTCATCGTCGCCGTTGAGCTTTGACCAGTAACTGCCGTGCCGATGGCGTTTGGCTTCTAATATCTGAGCAAGATGCGGGGGCTTACTCGTCCCAGGCCCGTGTGCCGTACTTCGACTCGCCCACATTGTCTGCAATATCTCGCAGGTAAGATTCTCAACGGAACATGGGCAAGACAAGGGTACGCACGGAAACCTTGTCCATGTCGTCCTAGGATAATTAGCTTGTAAGCGCCATCCTTGTCCGACCCATTGAGATGTGCGATATGTGAGAGGAGCTTTGACCAGCGATTCGATGAGTCGTCCTTCAGTCCGAAGCGCTCTGGCACCTGTTCAGAGTTGATATAAACCATCTGCATAGGAGAGCTTTGGGGAGTACTGACCGCGCCGATCACGGAGGGGACAGCACCGATATCATCATGGACGAAAAATCCGGATAGTGTCTGATGATGCAGTTAGACGAACCAAGCCTGTGAGTCGCTGGGCGCGAGTTACGGACGCTGAAATTGAGGGGAACGGGCGTAGGCATGAGTGTGAATGGGAGCCGGAGATGGGTGTTGAAGACAAGTGGCGCGCAGCTGCGGACCGTGCCTCCGACAGACAGTTCCTGTCAACGTCTACGGGCCAGCTACGGGCTTTCATTGCGTCTTTTGGCCTCATGTTACGATTCGTTGGACGTCCACAAGAACATGGTACGTTCGGCTTGGAGTGCGATAAGTAGCTGAGGCGTGCCGCGGAGATCCCTAATGTGGGTCCGCAACGAGGCGACGGCGTGTGTTGCCTTTTGCGCCAAACCTTCGCAGGCCCTCTATAACACCGCACAAACAACAGGAGGATCCTAGCTCGGTTGGCTTCGGATTATAGGAATCGTGCGTTTCTTTCTCAGCTACAGCACCGCCCGACTCGCTGCTCCCCTCTCCGCCTCGCAAATGTTCTCGGTCGCTAACCTATCAAACGTCAAGGATATCGTGTACTCAACCGTCGAGTTCTTCGCACTCAGGAGCCCGGCCCTTGCCTACCGCGGCTTGTCTGCCACGAGCGAGAACGATATCGAAACTGTCTCCGATACCAATACAGTGTCCCCGCAAGAGGCGCACAGGACCCTGAGGCGACAGCGCGAGCAAACCGCGTTACGTGAACAACCGCACGACTCGTGCCCGCCCCGATCTCCTTCACGACCGCCACGTCCCCCCTCGCCGACCTCCACCGTGGCGCGCAAATCAGTACCCAGTCAGTCGATGCGGCGCGCTGATATCGATGTAGTCAGAAGCGAGCTCGTACGCTCGCAGTCGGAGGTCTCACGACTAGAAGACCGATGCAAGGCGCTCGAAAAGAGCTTGCGCGATACCCGGGACGCGCTCCGGACGCGCGACATGGAGGTCGAATCCCTCAAGCGCGAGCGTGGACGTGCGCTATCCCGAAGCAAGCGAGGCTCCGCCTCGTCCATGCGCACCACTACTTCCTCCACATTGCACGGACACAAGCATGCGAACAAGGACGACAGCCTGGACGACGCGGAGATCGAGGCGCGCCAGCGCAGTATAGAAGTATACATGACGAGGACGGATTCGTGGTCGGGCGCACAGATCCTGCAAGCCGTGCAGGATCTCAACTCTGAAATACTCCAATTTGCCGCTAGCGCGACGGAGGTTTGTCCTTTCGGGCGATCCATCGGCACGACATCGCTCACCAAGACTTCTGCGGCGGCACTGCAAGATACCACGGCGCGGCTGGGCTCCAACCTGGCGCGCATTCTAGCCACGAAGGACCATTCACAGGATCCCCTGCTGGTGCAGCTCGCGGTGCAAGCCTGCGTCGTTACCTGCATCATACGTGCGCTATCGTCCTTCTGCATAGGATTTCCCCAGAAGGGCGACACCATACTATCGCAGCTATACTCACACATATACGTCGCTGGTGCGTTACTATATTTCATCCGCGGATTCCGTTCTGACCGTGTCGCCCCACAGAACCCCAACCCACGAGTTCCCGTTGGCGCTCATTCGCCCACCGCCACATCCACTCGTTATACCCTACCCTCACCGACTATTCCGTCAACGAGATGTCAGAGACGATCATCCGCTGGACCTGCGACATCCTCACCGTCGCCGGTACTACGGATTCCCACATGTCCTCCCGAGAAGGCCTGCGCTCGCGCTTCGGCGACCAGATCAGGCGAATCGCGCGCTGCGTGTCGCGCCTGGAGCATGTCATGCGCGAGGAGATCATGTCGACGAACTTCGACATCGTCTCCGTGGGGTACGGCGACGTATTCAATGGGCGCATCATGGCGGATGTCTTCGGCGATGTGAGCGTGTCGCGCGGGCATGTGCTCGCGACGACGGAGCTGGGTCTGAAGTGCACGACGCGCCGAGATGGGAATGGCTCAGACAACGGGACGATTGAGCAGCGATTGCTCTTGCCACCGAAGGTCGTGCCAGAGTCTGTGCTGGATGTACTGGATTCGAAGTGAATGTACATTGTACTATATACGTGGTTTTGTTAGGAACTTGTACCGGATCTGTTCGCATATCGCAGCCTCTTGTTAAGGGGACTCCTTGCGCCGTCTGGACCTCATGATGATACGTACAAAACATGTTGTGTTCTGGCGAGAGCAGTGTATACCCTTACAATCCCAAGATCACCGCTTCCGAATCTCTCAATGCTCAAGACGAGAATAATGCTGGGGCATGCGTGCATAATGTGATTCATGAGGGTGCACATACACATAGGGGTGGAGAGTAAGATGCGAGATACAACGCTCATGCGACAAGCGAAACGACACCGCCAGCCTCCTTGATCTTGGCTCTACGATCCAATTAGCGACATAGTCCGATCGTGACCAAAACAGGACGTACTCGGCCTTCGCAGAGACGAAGCGGGCCTTGACAATGCAAGGCAATTTTGGTAGCCTACGGAAAAGTCAGCACAGGTATATGCTTGAGTAAAATCACTGCTACGCACTGGCCGTTGCCGAGCACCTTTCCGTACCCGTGGTGGAGCGTGTCGATAACAGGAACGACATCCGAGTCCGCCGTCAAACCCTCCTTCTCCGTCTCCGGGACAAGCGACCAGAGCTT